AATCTGTTAATGTCGGGTATAAAACCTTGAAATCTGTACTGTTTACATACTCAAATATCAAGCTTGGAGTTTTTGAATGCTGATCTCTGACAATGTCAAGGAGTTTGACAATATTTGTTCCTCCACAGAGGTTCTGCAATATTTTGATCTCTCTCTTAATCTGCATCACAGCATGACAAAAAAACAAATACATCAACAACTCATGATCTTAAAGTCAAATTTAACGTGTTTAAACTTTAAAATATGAAATCCTAATATCCTATCATCATTGGAGAGAAAACATTGAGAGCACCAGACAGAAGAGACTAGACCAAAAAAGTTAAAAACATTAGTATATGTGCATACATTGCCGAGTTATTATTCCTTCAGATACAACATAAAGCTATATGCCTAGTGACTCTATGTGGATAGTACTGATATGGACAGTAAGCTGAATATAAAGTTGATCTGTAATAACCTTGTGAATTAGCATATAATATACCAAGCATTCTCCAAATAGTCACTGTAAAATACTATAATATCATTCTGAAGTGAACTAGCACATATCCTACCTTTTTCTTTTTAACAGGCTTCAGAATCTTAATTATGCACTTCTCGTTGCTGTTGACATTTACACCCTCAAAAACTTCACTGTATTTTCCTCTTCCAACTTTCCGTACAACTTCATAGTCATCCTGGTCACTGAAGTATTAAACCAAGAAATGTTAAAGATCATGGCACATAAGATGCATATTTTGTGTGCATTTCATGTTGGAAAACATTTGCTAGTGTTTTCAGAAAAACTGGGCCTCTACTAAGCATATCTCTTTGTATCTAGGACTCCAGCATATACAGGTTAACCATGTGATCCCTCAAGGGGAGTGAAATCGAAACAGAGAACAAAGCTTACCAAAATTCTCTAGATTATGTGCAGAACGTGAGGTGACCATAAAAAAATTATAAAAATATACTCTGTAATGATAGTTCAACATACTCCATTACTCCCACTAAGAAATGGGTTAACTTTGAATGATTGCAGCTAGTGGGGGAAGATTTGTTAAGCCTAATTTGAAGGAATACATTTTTGTTTTCATTGGGAAATAAGGCACTGATATTGCCCCATAAGGTATGAAAAAATGATAAAAATCAAACTGGAAAAAATCATTGAAGCTATAGAATGCCATTTCGTTGCACTAATTCAAAACGAGTGAATGTAATCTATATAGACTATATACCATATACCACCAAGCACTCAGACGAACACTATTCCTAAAACAAATCCCCTTATAGAAAAGTCCACATCACAAATCAGCATCAAACTGTAATCCACTCCAAGTAATAAGAGAATGGAATTGAAATTAGGGTTTAAGCGATGAAAGAGTTACCCCCACTGAACAATGAGCGATTCGTAATCCCAATACTCCCTGGGGCGAACCACATTGATGTCTGCGTATACTCGAGATCTGGACATGGCTTCAGAGAGAATCCCCGAGTTAGATAAGCCAAACAATGAGATTGACGAAGCGCGACTAGTTGCGGCTGAGAAAGGCGGCCGAAAGCGTAGTTCGGAGCTCGAGAAACCGCCACCGGCAGCTTTGATCAACCCTGGCCGGTCATCACAGCAGCTACAACGGCGAAGTAGGCGCACCAGGTGGTAAGCAGATCGAATATATGTGTTCGTATTGATGACTCAGTACTGACAATGGGATGGGTCCCGATTTAAAAAGTCGATTAAACACAAAGGCACAGTCTATGTTTGGAGTTTGGACTGATATTTGGGGGTTGGGTACTTGGCAGGTGCCAAGTTGGCCAGTTGCTCTTTATTTGTTCTACGCAGTAAATTACTCCCTCCTTCCCGGAATTATCTTCGTTCTTTCTTTTTTGGTCCGTCCCAAATTTATCTTCTTTTTCCTTTTTTGGTAAACAATATGTGGTTCACAACCATTCTTACACATTTCTCTCTCCTCTGCATAACTCTCCACCACACAAATCTCATTATCTTAAAACCCGTGCCCGGTCAAAACCGGAGTTAAATATGGGACGGAGGGAGTAGTAAATTTTATGGCACCAGTAATTGCAGTATCCCCTCTTGACGTTGAATTAGATGTTTATGATAATATAGATGAAGTTCCGATCGAAGTGACTGTATTAGCCGATTCTGCTGATTTATGAAAAACTTATATATGTGGTACTAGTATAAAATACTACTCCCCACGTCCCTTAAAACTTTGTCAACTTTCCTTTTTTGGATGTCGCACTAACTTTGTCACTTTCATTTTTAAGTTAAGAATTTGTGGTTCCAGTTAATTCTTTCTCCTCTACACAAATCTCTACCACACAGTTTTTACTTTATTAATCTCCATGCCGGTCAAACTTGGCAAAATTTTAAAGGACGGAGGTAGTAGTATATTTTACTAATAAAATAAAGAAAAAATTATATTAAAAAATAGCTAAAATGATGGTTTACAGTAACTTCAACCGATACAACCAGAAAAGTAACTTCAACCTTACTTTTTCTTATTATTACACAATTGAGCGCGGAAATAAAAAATTAAATGTTTGGTGAAAAAATTGACTGATAAATCGAAAAATAGGATCAATTTCACAAATAAGAAACGTTCTAACATATACTCGGCACTACGTATAAGAAACATGGTACAGATAAAACAATGCCGGTTACTAATATGGGGTTTTGTGCAACCAGAAATACTCATATGTGCAAAGTACAAAGGCGTGTGCATATTTGTGCCTGGGTGAATGATTTACAGAGTTAAGATTTTCACATGATTTACCTGCAATTGAATTTCATAATTTATTTTCATCTCGACTTGATTTTATGTGTGCAAAAGTGTGTACAAGTATCATGCTCCATTTTATGGAGGATTATCATGCTAGAGTAGGACTGACCTTTCTGTATCAATTTTTAAGTAAGAAGCTCAAATAACTTTTTTGCCTTTGTACCTAACAATGTCTAATGAAGAAGATGAAGAACAGCAACCATGTAGTGCTTCCAGGAGCCTACTCTTTATAAAATTCTATTTAGACAACTCTGCTGTGTCTTGTATGAACAAACACATGGTCTATTACTTGTGTCAAATCACCATTTTGAAGTGCTTTTAAACTCTTCAAATCACCAATACTTGTTAAAACAATATTGGTCATTCAAATGCCATGATATGATACGTAGTAATACTTTATAGGATGACATTACTTACTCATACTTGAGAAAGAAATATATTTTAGTACTTTCAACATATTTTCACTTGAACCGAACTTTATTGTCAGACATCATTTCAATTGGTCTAATCTATTAGTTTAATGAAGTCTAATTTGGTATTCTGTGTATTTTTGTATAATATAAGGATGTTATTAATTTGACTGATTTTAGATTCATACTATGATAGACACGATTTCGACAGTTGTAAAATACACATATAATAAATATATATCAGACCAGCTTAGAGCAGACCGGACTTAAACAAACCAAATCTCACCAATTAAAAACATCCTAAGTATGGTTTGGTATTATTTGGTCTAGCCTGGTCTATTTAGTCCGATCAAAACTTGATCTGGTCTAATCTGGTCAGGTCTGAGATTGAAATTAATCCAAATGAAAATGTCCTAATTTAGGAAATTGAGTCAAATGACCATTTTTCTACTCCTACTTAAGGCATTTTCTTTTATAATTTTAAGAAGGATTTTGCATTAAGCGACTGATTCATATCTCTTAAGGTTTGTGAGTTTTCCACCGCTCTTGTGGGCATGGGGTTGGAGTGACTGATTCTTTGGCTTTGGATCCTTTATTCGGCTCTTATGGTGCATTAAGATTATATTGGCTTTCAATTTTTTAAGGTTTAGGATTGCAACAACATCATGGGAAGTGTAAATTGCAGACGAGCAATTTGCAGTTGGGAGGATGTATCGCTTGCGGGACATGCCGCGTTGGTCGGCTGCTCCCGTTGCGGTGGAGTTATCGTGGACATTGTCGGTAGGTTAGCAAGAACGGACGGATACCTTCAACAATGTTTGATTTTACGTCATGGTTTTGGTTGGAGGATGGAGGATGGAGGCGTTCATGCAATATCACAATTGGAGGGGGGTGAAAGGGGTCAAGCTATGGATGGACTCGGGCCGGGTGGCCCGACCCGGGACCGGTACTATTTCGGCCCGGCCCGACCCGGTGGCCCAGTCAGTGACCGGTCCGGGTAGGCCCGGCCCGTGGGTTTTCCGGTCCGGGCCCGGGTCACCCAAAACAAGGCCCGGCGGCCGGGCCCGGGCCCGGTTCGGGCCAAAAACTATTTTTTTTTCAATTTTTTTTAAATTTTCGGGTTGGGCTGGGTATTTTGGGCAATTTGGGGTGGTTTGGGGGGTTGGGGGTGGGAGGGGGGTTAATTAGGAAGAGGAAAACAAAAAAAAAATATAATGGGCCCGGGCCGGTCCCGGGTCCACCATTTCTGACCCGCCGGGCCGCCCGGGCCTAGGCCCGACCCGGACCCGGGTCCATCCATAGGTCAAGCACATGGCAATGGTAGTTGAACAAGCGTGGTATTTGAAGAGGAGACAAATGTTAAGGAAGCAGGGAGATAAGCTAATGGAAATAAGGAGGTGGATATGTAAAAAATGGAAAGTGATGGGCTTTGAGTTCCAGGCCCGCTTCGGTTTTTATTCATGAATTAAATTCTTTTCAACCAAATCATGAAGTTGAAAAACTTCTTATTCTGCCGTCCAAATAATGCACCTTTTTATTACTATCAAATAAACTCTAATGTCTATGAGTCATGCTAGAGGTACAAAAACTTTTACAAAAAGTCTTACAAAAGGGGTATGTGTCATCATCACATTATTTAACACATCACATCACATTTACAACACTTTTACATCAATGGTAATGAATTAGCCACATCACTTGTTTGTAAATTTTTGTGTGTGTTTGTACTTCTAGCATTTTTCAATGTCTATTGGTAAATATACAAAATGTGTTGTGTGATAATAAAAACCATTTTTCTATTATATAATTTTGCTTCCCTCTTTTGAGAAATCGAAAGATACAAATATGTTTTTGCAGCAGCAGCTTTGTTTTCAAAGAGGGAATTTAAAACACAAAACAAATGTTATCAAACGAACTCATATTTCAATATTTTGATTGGGTCTATGGAAAGCTATACATGTTTAGGAAGTTGATCATACATGAGTACATGCCACACGTTTGTATGGTTTTTGTATAAACAAGTACGGATTGAAAACATTATACCTTTCATGATTGTTGCTCGAGTCAATCCAACTTGCTAATCGCTATGTACAAACAACCGCCAGCCAACCAACCAATGCGAGCAAATCCACAATATTAGCAGCACACCTAGCTTTTATTTGTCATCCTGAAGTGCTTAATTATCATCACAATCTTTTGATATGAAATTCCACTTTGTGAATAACTACAGATTACAACTGGGAGGTCTGAGAAGAATGGGCTAAGCAGCAGTAAACCAACTGCTCCGCACCAATATTGTGTGGGGATCTGTACAGGCCAACTCTGAACAAACAGATTCTTCTACATTGTATATTCGCATGAAATTTTGATCTTCATATTCCTCAGAAACATCCTTATTCTCCATTCTCCCAAGAATAAGACTGTTTTTCTAGAACCCTAGTTTACACTTAACAGAAGCCATATCCAATAGCAATTACAGAAGCGCCACAAATGTCACTCTCCATCACCAGCAACTCCTCCCTGTGTGGCAAGAGGGGGACTATTCCATAGTGTCCTTATCTGCTAAAAGGCATACTGTATAAGTCTATATAGCTTGATGGACGAGATCTATATATTCAGAAAAAGAAGCTGATACTCTATGGTCTGATGGCATTTGTTTCAATGAATGATAGAAACATAGCAGTGTTAATGTATCACTACATTGAACACACAATATTATGTTGTTACTTCCAATAATACAACAAAACATGCATATAATTGTGTGTTAGAGATAGAAGAGATAAGTTGTCTTCATGTACAAAATAATAAGGGAGGAGGGGAGAGAGAGGAGAAGAAGAATGACAACTTACCTTCAGGGCACAGGGAAAATACAGAGTACTATGTACTGAATTATAAAGAATAGAACTCTATATATGTGAAAACAGTGTTTCAAAACAGCTCTTCTTTTGGGACGTGGGAAAAAATAAACACCTTAATGCTATCTATATCCCTACGTCATTAAATCCAATATTCACTCTGAATACGAAAATACCATATTCACTTCGTCAATCTAGTTTTTTGTTACATTACAACGAGAGTCAATAGTTTTAGCTCCAATTTCATGTATCGATTCATATTAGTTGATCCCAAACTCAGCGAACTGAGCCTTGGATGTTGTTGTTGCACAACAGGAGTCAATATTACTCACTACACATATTTTATTTGCATATAATAAAACATTACTTATGTTATTAAAAAAATCCGAAAAAATGTTACAAATAATTACAGCTCCAGAAAACACCACATTTGGATGAAAAGAGAATTGGATTTTTTTTTTACTTTTTATGGTTAACAACAAAAAAATCATTTTTTACAAACTTGCATGTTATTATAAAAAAATTATTTTATATTTTTTAAATAAAAACTTGGCATGACATCATGCTAACAACAGCATTACCTCTCTCTCTTCCCTGCACCTCCCTGACCACTAGGCCATTGTTACTACTTCCATGCTGCTGTCTTCAGTTTAATTTCAACCGAGGTAGTGAATTGGAGTTGGTTTCCCCCCTCCTCCCTCCCATAGGGCCAATTTTGTGTATATCCACCCTTTCACGGCCAGCACTACAAACAGCTTTATGAGTAAAGGCTGGCAACAGGTTAATTACCTATCTACAATTCTAAAAATTGCTTATAATGCTATTCATCTAGAGATTTCATTGATTGAGTAAACAAAGAAGTGCAGGAATAAGATGTGTGGTTCCTTCAATATTCCTGGATGGTTGCAGTGATTGTGAAATGTCTACCAATCACAAAAAACGTGTATCAGCTTAATATATACACGGTTAAGAGAAAGATAACAATTTGTCAAAAAGTATATCATACTTGCATAAGGATAAAGGACCCCTTCAAGAAATTCAAGAATCCTTTGTGCATCACCTGCAAGGAGAATTGGTATAAGTGCAAGAAATAAAAAACAATTGTGAGTTTGCTTCATTTATAAGTGGTACAGAGTATAATTGGAGAGTTGGTATAAGTGCAAGAAATAAAAAACAACTGTGAGGTTGCTTCATTTATAAGTGGTACGGAGTATATTTTATATAGACCAAGCTGAGAACTTACATAAAGAAGTGATTCTACCACTTGCCATCAATTTGGCTCTCCATTACGAGAAGCTTGTAATGAAAGAAAGGCTAGTAATACACTTCAACCGATTTAGTGCCCATTTGGTAGCCAATAGTGGCTTAGTTTGCTTCATCAGCTTATCAACTTAGAATGACAGAACAAGTATTATATCAGGCACTTTTCATTTCAAAAAAATCAGCAGATCCTTCCACATCAGCCAAATAACCTAAATAAACAGGAACTTAGACTGCTGGTCACCTGACATCCTTGGAAGAAACACCTTTCAGGTTCATGAATTAATTAGCTTTTATATCAGCCAAATAACCCTTTCTAAATAGACTCTTAGCCAGCAGGTCACCTGACATCCTTGGAAGAAAAGCCTTTCATATTCATTGAATTAATTAGCTTTTCAGACAAATCACTATTGAGAGTAAATCCCTTCTCCATCATCTGATCCCATATTGCACAAGCCCAAGAAAGTTTCTTTTCATTAATTAATCCTTGAATAATTAACTTGAATGTCACCTCATCTGGACATAAACCCCTCTTTTGCATGTCTTCATAAAGAACCATAGCTTCACTAACTTTAGAAGCTCTGCAAAGCCCGTAAACCAATGCATTGTAGGAAACAACATCAGGGCTCACTCCCTGCTCTAACATGTCATGGAAAGTGCTCTGTGCTGTCCCTATCCTTCCAGTCTTACAAAGATGGTGGATGATAGTGGTATATAACACACGATCTGGAAAAAGATTCATTTGTGTCATCTGGTCAAGAATCATCTCAGCCACATCAGAGTTTCCTTCTCCTAAGAATGATTTTATCAAAATCGTAAAAGTTACTATATCTGGACATATTTCCCTTTCCCTCATCTCATCTAATAGCTTGTACGCCCTCATGGAGTGGCCCGTTTGGCAAAGCGCTCTAATTATTGTGTTATATGAGACAACATCAAGCAAACATTTAGGTCCCATCTTAGTTATCATGAGCGTGTATGCCTTATCCACTTTCTTCGCCCTACATAGACCCTTAAGTAACTGGTTATAGCTATAGTGATCGGGTATCATACCACAAACTTCCATCTTCTCTATCAATCTCTCTGCTTCCCCCAACATAAGTTCGTTACAACTATAATTCAAGAAAACATTGTAAGTGGACAGATCAGGATCACATCCATTTCTTCTCATGAATGACTTAATTGTTTGAGCTTTATCAATCCTTCCAATTCGGCAGAACCCATCAATGAGTTTATTGTATATTTTAATGTCAAACTTAATTCGACTTCTCATTACACCTAATGTTAGTTCATATGCCGTATCAACCTTCCCATACTCACACAGACCCAATACGACAGCTCTACAAGCCTTGTAGTCAGGTGTATGACCTTTCCGGATCATCATATCCCATATTTCAATTGCATTGTCAAACCTTCTAATCTTAAACAGTCCATTAATAACTACAGTATAGCTGACTACATCAGGTTCTCTACCTTTCTCTCCCATGACTCTCAACGTCTCCAGCGCTAACTGGACAAAGTTTTCATTACACAAAAGATTTAAATATATATTACACGCCCAAATATATGGGACTACCCCAAGCCTATCCATATCATCTAAAAGTTTATGGATAAGCTCAAAATTCTTAACTTTACACAAGCCGGAAATAAATCTTGAATATGTATGAGGGTTCAAGGAGAAACCATTGGGCTTCATCTCATGGTAATACTGTTCTGCCAAGTCAAACCGAAAATTCTTAATCAGGACGCCAATAAATCGGTTGTAATCAATGCTGAAAACCCTGCAGTCTGATGTAGTCATTTTATCGAACACCTGGATTGCTTCATCTACAAGCCCAGTTTTCACATAGTTGGAAATGCGAGCACGATAGATAAGACGATGCTTACCAAGACTCCGATGCATATCAGAGTGTGTAATGAAGTGAATACATGGTGTAAAGTTCTTTATCCCTAGACCAATTCTAAAAGGGTGAACCTTAAGACCTCTATTACTAAAAAGAGTCCATTCTGGACCTTAGGCATTAACCCCAAACACCAAGAGAAGGTGAGAATCTGACCTGTACAAGGGCGCGGAAAGACTCTAACTTTAACTCTTAAAGGGTTTAGGGTTGCGGGAAGAACTGCAGAAGGTGATATTGAAAATTCCTTCTCCGTTTTCAACTGTCTTCGGACAACTTAACTTTTTTCTAGATACAGTAAACATAAACATGAATCAGACATTAGCAAAAATATGATTCTGTCAAAATTGTTATTTGTAATACAACTATACAAGTAGAAAGAATTGTTTTTTGTATTACAATTTTTTTTTACAAACAAAAATTATTTTTTGTTAAACAAAAATGCTGTAAGTTCTTGTACTAACAACTTACTTAGCTGGGGCATATAAGAATCAGCCACTAGCAAAAATATTGAGAAACAAGAAAAACCACGTTTTAAAGAATTGTTACTTTTATTTTTCCAAACAAAAAAGAATTGTTACTTGTATTACAAAAATTATTTTTTATTAAATAAAAATATTGTAAGTGCTTGTACTAATCACATGGTTGAAATGTAGAGAAATATATGATAACCCATATAAAAGTAGTTAGTAAATAAAAAGTTAATGATGTTCTTAAAAGTCATTTAATAATTTATCAGATCATCGTAAATAGTCAATTAATCAAACAATATTGTATTATATAGAGCGCTAATACTATCAACTAACCAAAACAGCCAACAAAATCAGATAACATTCAACGATTGACACAATAAGTTAATAGTCAACAACTAATTGCCTAACATCTCATTGCATCTCGAAGTTACAATGAGCAAGTTTTTCGCACAAGTTAATAGTCAACAACAAGTTTTTCGGACAAAAAACTGATGAGCACTTTGTCACGGTGCGTCAAAATAATTTTCAATACTAACACTTATACGTAGTATAGCGTAGTAGAGTTCGTATCCACAGGGAAAGGAATAATTCTTTTTTATGAAACTTAGTAAAAAAAAGGAGGGATTTGGATTGAGTGATTTAATTTAATTAAGAACTAAGATGAACAACCTATATGTGTTTAATTCAAAGATAAAAAGGACTTGGCATTGCTACTTTCCACTTGTTGATATATTTTAGTCGATCATCGTCATATCTATAACTTATTCCCTCTCGAATACTCAATCGGGGAGTATATCCACTTCATCGAGGGTAGTTATTAACAACGACCGTTCATTAATAACCCTTACTATTAATCAAATATAGAACAACGCCTTATACCGATTTAATAGTAACATTTAATCTTTCTAACTCCTTGATGAAATCAATTGAGATTGATAACCTCAACACAACGGTTTCGGTTTAACCAACAAAATTAATCCCTCTTAAGTTTAATAACCACGACCGTGCATTAATAAACCGAAGTTACTTACTTGTGAAACCATCAACGATTAACCATCGGTTCGTTGATCGTTTCTAGTAATAATTCATATATGAAACAAAACTAGTTGATCCTTTAAGTAATGTTCAAAATATTAATATGAAATATGAGTAGGAATTAATTAATATTCAAGGAAGAATATTATTAAAGAAGATGAATCCTACTATAATTAATATCAAGATGTTAACTAATTGTCATCTTAGCAACACTCCCCAACATTAATATAGAGGAAGAAAATACCATTCTAACTAATGTCGAGATGTTAACTAATTGTCATCTTAGCAACACTCCCCAACACTAATATAGAGATGATATTAAGGAAAGAACTATTAATTAATATTCAAGGAAAGAAGTTAAGAAAATAACTCACAACTTTAATAATCAACAAGCTTCAAGAGCAACACCAAGAATCGGAAGTTTAGCTCCTCATTTGGAGACTAAACATAGCTAGAAAAATATAAGAAATGTTATTCTAAACTGAGCTTAAGAGTATGGAAGAAGAGATGATTTTTTGTGAAGAAAGAGTGTGCTATTTATAGGTGTTTTTCAACACCTTTGGCCGGGTACCCGACCGGGTTTAGTGCTTACCCGACCGGATACCGGTCAAAATCAGATTATCTCCCACGTTTTTGTGTTTCAGCACGTTAAAATGTCCCGGATCAAGTCAGACCCGACCGGGTCAAGTAGGGGACCCGACCGGGTTTGACTAAAAAATCAGATATTCTTTATTCGGGCGATCCTTGGCACGTTCTGGTGTTCCGGGTCACATCCGAACCGACCGGGTCAAGTAGGGGGGCCGACCGGGTCTAGCTATTTTCTCAGGGATCTGGTTCTCAACTTAGACCCGACCGGGTGTAGTGCCTGACCCGACCGGGTTAGCGCTCCTGGCCATTTTTATCTTCAGCTTTTCTCCTTTCCCTTGCTAAAAACACTACTACTATTCTACAACTATAAATGAAAGCAAAAAACAATTACAAACAACATAAAACAAATGTTTACAAACTAACTAAAGAGGAAAGAAAATCCACACAAAGTTAATACAAAAACATACATTTATGCACTATAAACTAGTGCATATCAAAAACCGAATAAAGGAAAAATAAAATATATTATTTGATTGAATTTCAATTTGGACCTTTCAACAATTTCTTTTAATTTCAAGGTTGATGGCATGAGATAAGATCATGATAACATCACCATATTGTACATCAATACATTTTTATTGAACATTGAACCTATTCTAATGAGTATAAAGAATCTAATATTAAGCATCGTGATCTATGTTTAATATATTATAATTCACTTTTTGTTTCTTATTTTTTATATTATAAAAATTTCTTAAGTTGCATCTTTTATCAACTCATGCGAATTTCAATATGTGAACCTAATTTAATATTATTCTTTCGAAATATGCATTGATATGATAATTGTAAGATATGCTAGTTGAACATCAAGACATCTTCATTGAGCATAAGACCTCTTCTATTAAACATTGGATCCTTGCAATTGAGTATAAAAATTCCTTAACCTATTGAGTATTATAACATTAATAGAGGAGGTGTGATATTATCATGTTCTCTAATACTGAACATTAATACGATAGTATTAATACATTTTCATCGAACATCGAGCCTCATATTTTGAGCATTGAAAGCACGTAATAAAGTATCATGGTCTTTGCTCTCATGTCTTTTAATTCACTTTCTTATTATTAGTTTTTCTTTATTTTTCTTTTGTAAAGATTTCTTAAATAGTATCTATAATCAACTCCCGTGAATTCTAATACACAAAACTATTGTAATATTATACTTTTGAAATATGCATTGATATGACATTTTGAAATAAGCAAGACAACAATGCCAAATAAGCATACATAACTTACAAAATGAGCATCGAAAAATTTAAGAAACTAATTTAAATTATCTAATGTGCTCAAATATTCGTTTGTGTATGCTCAAGTAACAACGTTATTCCACCCATAGTCATCGTCAAGCAGCACGTGCATCAGGTGCATGTACAACACCCAAACTCATAGCTATCTAATTGATAGCTGAATCAATGCATATACTCTACATGTTCTTCCTCACGCTAAACACTGGCCAACCAACGTCCACCACCACTCCAGGAGTCCACTGGGCCACTCCTCCCCAGCTCTTTTGTAGACGAAGAAGGTCGAATGGTTGATCAAGGATGTCTATTTAATGAGAAGAGCCATTATGCAAATAACTCAAGTTTTCAGGTATCCCTCTCCAATCATTTCTCATATCCTTTCTATCTTTAAACTAATGTAGAAACATAATTGCTTTTATGTTTTAACTAATGTATCAATAGTAGCGAGTCATATATCCTACATCCGGGTGTATGTACATCTGGCCCAATTATGGAAGACAACCCATTAATTAATACAGACCATTTTTTCGGTTGCATTATGTTTAAATGTTTAATGTCATTCGATAGTATATTTTATTCATTCACTTTTTTTTGAACCGAGATTATTATATTCATTCACTTGTTTCTTTGATATCATTTAATGAATAAAGTAGTTATTTGATTAATATGTTTAGTACTTTTCATTTCATTATTTTCCTATTATTTAAATATGTTTAATTTGCAGAAAGAGGTAATAGAGAAGGTAAAGCCCATGCTAGAAGAAACTATCAAAGAAATGGGCAACAATTGAGGTTTCTCGGAGTGCTTTAAAATGGCGGATTTGGGCTGCTCATCCGGACCGAACACGATATTCCCCATGATCAACGTGATCAACGCTGTGAACGAGAGTTGCCGGGAGAGAAACACCGACGTGCCGGAATTCCAGGCCTTTCTCAATGATCTGCCGGATAACGACTTCAACGCTGTCTTCCGAACACTCCCTTCGTTTCGCAAAAATCTGGAAGAAGCAACGGGTTTGAATAGTAGAGATAAAAAGTATAAGCATTGTTGCATAGCAGCAGTGCCTGGTTCTTTCTATGATAGGCTCTTCCCTTCCAATTCTCTCCACTTAGTTCATTCCTCCTATAGTCTTCATTGGCTCTCGCAGGTATATATAGATCATGTAACTTAATTAAGAATTTCAAATTAAAACCGTCATATTTTTATTCCCGAAATATGAGTTACTACTGAGTAGTACAGAGTAACAGACTTAAAATATGACAATCTTTTTCAAACTTAATAGTAATTATTTCTATTTAAGAACAAAAACATGAGAATGTGATTTTGAAATTCAAAAAGGTTTATATTCCTATTTCGAGAATTTCCCCAATCACATAACAAATCTCATTGACCTAACCTTTATTTGTAAAATGGAGTATATATTAGATTAATTTTAAGCTTCTGTTCAAAACTTTTTATCTAATGAATTGTATTATATACGTTTTGATAAACATTTTTATGCTCATTGTATATACAGTACCGATCCTACCTAAACTCAGACCTGAGTCTAGCTTCATAAATGGGCCCTAAACATACTGATTCTTTGTCATATAGAATCATTAAAATTCAATAATTAAATATCACAAAACCACAATTCTTAAAAGAAAGTCTGCATTATAGCAAAATGACATTGGGTGCATTAAAAAACTAATTAAGTACAACTCGTCGAACATGTTTAGATGCAAATGTATTAATCAAGTCTGCATAATCTATGCTACCAATGAATTCCTTTTCAATTGATAACATAGCTAATCCATTCAACCTTTTTTGGGACATGGTTGAAGATGTACTCCCCGAATTGAAGTGACACTTTTATTCGAAATCAAGTAGTACGTACTATTAATGTTTCGGCCTTACTTTGAGTTAATGATTCAGTACATGATTTTGTTTTCCTCTTTTGAAATCGAGACATAGATTTCAGAGGCAAGGTACAAAAAATTAAATAAATACATAATTTAGTGAAATCCTTAACAATATATATCAGTAATTTTCACTTTAAAATAC